ATTTGTCAAAATGGTTTATCACTTTGCATTCCTACCAGCATTATATGAGAATGTCAGTTGCTCCACATCAGAACACTTGGTGTGGTCTCTGCTTTTTAATTTTGGACAGCCAAGTTGGTGTATAGTAATATCTTATTATGGTTTTCATTTGCATTTCCCCAATGACTAATAACTTTTCATGTTTTCATTTGTCACTTTTATAGCTTCTTTGATGAAGTGTCTACTCAAATCTTTGCCCATTTTAAAATATATCATATACCTGATCATATGAAGATCCTGAAGATCCAGGGTTCTTCATACATTCTGAATGTAAGCCCTTTATCAGGTATATGATTTACAAATATTTTCCCCAGAATTGAAATGAACTTCAAAGAGTAGAAGTTCTTAATTTTGATGAAGTCTAATATATCCAATTTTATTTTTTTAATGGAGTGTGCTTTTGACATTGCATTTAAGAAATCTTTGCCTAGGGGCACCTGGGTGGCTCAGTGGGTTAAAGCCTCTGCCTTCGGCTCAGGTCATGATCTCAGGGTCCTGGGATCAAGCCCCACATTGGGCTCTCCGCTCAGCAGGGAGCCTACTTCCCTGCTCCTCTCTCTCTGCCTGCCTCTCTGCCTACTTGTGATCTCTATCTGTCAAATAAATAAATAAAATCTTAAAAAAAAAAAAAAAAAAGAAAGAAATCTTTGCCTAACTCAAAGTCACCAAGATTTTCTGTGTTCTTTTCCTGTTTTAGAGTTTTACATTTTGGTCTATATTCCAGTGTGAGTTAATTTTTTTGTATATAGTACAAAATTCATATGGTATGAATTGAAGCGTTTTGGGGGGTGGGAGTTGGGGGGTTTTTTGCAGATAAATATCTAATTGTTCTAACATCATTTGTTGAAAAAGTTATCATTTTTATTTAAATACCCTTGTCAAAAATCAACTAACCATATATATGACAGGTTGATTTCTGGTTTCTATTCTGTTCCATTGATTTGATTTGTTTGTCTACCTTGATGCCCATATCACACTGCCACGCTGCCTTAATTACTAAAGTGTTATAAAAAACCTTGAAGTCAGATAGTGTGAGTCCTCCAAATTTGTTCTCTTATTTCAAGTTATTTAAGCTTTTCTAGATCCTTTGCATTTCCATATAAACTTTAGAATCAGCTTATTAATTGCTCACAAAAAAAAAAAAAACCATGCTGGGATTTTCATTGAGATTGCACTGAATCTATATATCAATTTAGAGAACTGCCCTCCTCACCATAATGAGTCTTCCAACCTGTAAACACATTATGTCTCTCCATTTTGATGTTCTTTAATTTCTCTCAGCAATATTTTATAGTTTCCTATATACCAATTATTCACATCTCTTCTCAAATTAATACCCAAATATTTCATATTTTTATATTATTTTAAATCATTCTTGTTTCAATGTCTGCTTATTCATTGCTAGCACTATATATTGAAGTCCAATGGATTTTTGCATATGTTTTCACATTCTGCAGTCTTGCTAAAGTCACTTATTAATTCTGGGAGCTCTTTCATAGATTACATAGGAATTTCTATGTAAATGATCATGTCATCTCTGAATAAAGAAAGTTTTATTTCTTTCTTTCCAATCCAGATAGCTTTATATCTTTTTTCTTGCCTGATTTCAAGAAAACTGTGTCTCCAACATCCCACAGTCCTCCCAAAGAACACGAAGTACTAACTCATTGGTGTCAGCACTTTGTACGAATTCCTCAAGTGCAAGTGGAGATGGCTGTCCATCAGTATTAGGCCAGCTTTTGAAACCCCAAGTCACATCAGTACTAGACTCTTAAATTTGCCCTTCAATGACTTTGGCTTCCAGCATGTATATATTTACACTTACATATGCATGCAGCATTTTTTTTAAAGCCTTCCCACTAAGCTCAGATAGCCCATTCTAGAACCAGGCCTCCCATTCCAAACCCATTCTAAACTTCTCATATGGATTTGGTCATCATTCTGGATTCTCTTTTTATTATAATGTGTTATTCCTCAAAGGCGTTTGATATCTTTGCCAAATGACCTGAGTTGAGTCCATTTTAATTCATCTGATACTTTTCTAATAATGTTAAACTTCAGAAAGGAAAGTGTCGGAGTTTTATCCACAACTTCCCAGAAGGCTCCTTGCACGTTATGCAAATATACCCATCTTGTTTTTTTTTTTTTGCAACCTCCCAGAGAGGCAGTATTTGTCAATGTAAAACAAAAATTCTGTTGCATGCTTTCCTCTAACACTGGTATCTAATGGCCTTATATCTACCTAAAAGAGACCATTCTATAGATTGTTCTCAGGTTAAAGGATATCTGCCCCAAGGAAATTTGTAAATTCTAACACTAGAAATAGAAGCTACAGGCAACTTTCAAATAACAATTTATTCTAGTTTTTAAAAACTACTAGAGCTTAGTCTCATTGGGCATCCCTCTAAAGAAGTTTTTTCAAAAGTAAGAAGAATGTTTTAGGAAGATGAATATGGCAGTGATTTGAAGAGTAAATGAGAATTGGAAAGAGAAGTGAGTCAGAAAGATCAGTTACCAGACTATTGTACTAATCCAAGTCATATATAATAAAGATGTTACCCAGAACTAATAGTAATTTAATAATGGAAAGAAAACAGTGAATGAGATTTTTTAAAATAGAGAAATTAAATAAGATTTAGAAAATGAACTATGAAGAAGAAGGGAAAGAAGTCAAAGATGGCTAACTAGTAAAGAAAATGGTAGCCCACTTGCAGAAGAAAATGGTTAATACATAGGAAAATATCCCCCTGCCCTGGCAGGGGCAAGTCTGAGTGGGAAGGTGATCAGCTAGATGGTGGACATGTTGAGTCTGACTCCAATGGTTGAGAGGCAGTAGGAATTATTGAAAGAGTGTTGGAAACCTGAGTTCAGTTGTGGTTGGGAGACAGTGACAGACACTGTGGGACCCGGCCCAACCCTCATTTTCCACTGTGCCGTCTTCCTTTCTAGTCTCAAAGAAATCAGATTTAGTTTCTGCATTGGCCCAACTTGGTAGTCCTTGTGCTTCAGAGGAGGCTCCAGCCTCAGAGGTTAAATTCTGATTGGTCTAAGTCAATCACATCTCCCTTTCCCGGGGCAAGTCCCAAGTCTGGTCAATGAAGCATGAAGGAAAATCGGCTGTGCGATTCAGGGTAATGAATTCTCACTCTTAAGAAGAGCTATACCAGAAGAGATGGTCTGTTCTTTCAGTGGACATTGCCAGGTATGAATGGGGCAGTAGGAACCACTTGTAGGCATCTAACCACCAGCAGCTGGCCTGTGAACAGACCAACAAGCTGAGGATAGCAGAGCCAGGAGAGAGAAAAATTGGGCCCCTGAAGCGGTCATTGAACTGCTATACTAACCAACCTTAGCATGCCATACTCTTGTACTTCTTCTTATGGAAGATCACACATTTAAGCCAGTTTCATTGGAATTTCTGTTATTTGAAGCTAAAGCCATCCTCACTTACCCAGCAGCTTTGGCCCAAACCAATTTACCCTGCACACTACCATTTCTTCCACTGTAAATTGAGAGTGCTCTCTCTAAGAACTCTTCCAGCTCTAACCTCCCATGGTTTTATTATTACAGATAAAAATAGAGGTCAAAAGGAAGAATGAACATCTAGAGAAAGATCAAAAGAAAAATACAGATACAGGAGTCATCTATGTAGTGTAACACTTAAGAGTCTTAGGAATAAATGAGATTGTCAAGTGAATCTTATTGATTGCTATATATGTTAACAATAACATCGTATTTTATCTTCACAACATTCTACAAAGTGGGCTTCATTCCCATTTTCTGTGAACAAACCAAGACACAAATATCAAGAAAAACATGAACAATGTCCGAGACTCTAAGAGATTGTCAGAATTTCAACAGTATCACATGTTTCAGACAGGTCAAGAAGAATGAAGCTAAGAAAAGGTCAAACATCTTGATGACTTGGGAAGTTCTTACTGCTTTCAAGATAACCGTTGCCAGAAAGTCATAGGGATGAAAGACAGGGTGAACACAGGGAGTGAAAAGTAAGACATGTTAAGGAAGTAAAGACCATTTTTATCAGAAGGTTAGCAGTCAAATAAAAGGGAAAGATGAAAAATTACTTGAAGGGAGGAACAAGTTTAAGAGAGAAATTATTTTGTTTCTTGTCTAAAAAGACCCAACCATACTGGTGGGCAGAGGGAAAGGGACCCGTGGAGGAGCAGAACAGAAGGAGGGCCTCATTGGTGGAACTAGTTCTGGAAAACACAGGAGATGTGCTGTTTGCCTTCCCTCTGCTGCCTGCTCCTTGAGCTCAGGCTGAATTGAGGGTTCTGAGGGCCGATTGATGGCCAGCCTGAGCTGATGTAATCACTGCTACAACGTATGAATAATGAATGAACGTTATTTCTTTTATGTGTTATTTTAATAGCCCTTTATAAAAGGATCATTGGAAAAACACCAACATATCTTTCCAAATTTTATTTTTAAGATGCATAATTAATACAGAAAAGTATTACTGTACAGTAAAAACCAACATTTATCTCATCCTTCTAACAGAGTATGACCTATGGAGAAGGAAAAGATGAAAAATGTTATTAAAAATAAAATAGTTGTATATACCAGGTCCAAGATCACACTGGGAAATTACCTAGACCTACATTACAGAGAGAAAATTCAAATTGAATAATAGGAGATACTTTAGAATAAGAACTTAGTGTACGCCAGGCCCTGTGTTAAGCACTTCTTACACATTATCCTACTTAATCCTTGTAACACCCTGTGAGATGGGTGTTATTAACTTGATTTATGCTGAAGAAACTGAAGCTTAGAGATGTTATATCCCTGAGATCCACCTATGGTACTATTCCATATGAGTTTTCATAAATGAAACAATTATTCCTATTTACAGGGCATTAATTATGTTCTAGCAAGTGCTGAGTGCTTTCTAGTCTTGTGGCAACTATGTGAGCTATCTGTTTCTACTATCTTTATTACAGATGCAAATGTAAGGACCAGAGAATTAGCCATGAGATGGTAGAGGCTGTCCTCCAACCAGTATGGTCTGATATCTACAAAGAATTCAAAAACTAAGGTCGAGGTAAGAATCTTTAATTTGAAAATGGCTTTATAGGATCATGTAACATATCCAGCAAGTACAAGCCAAATTCTCAATTCTCTGGAAGGAATAAAGTATAGGATAAATTCCTAAGGAGGAAAATGTTGCCTCTAGCACATAAGCTTAATAGTGTAGTTAAAAATGTTTGAGTCAAAACTGAATGCCAGTTATGAGACACTAAACTGTGATGTGTTTAGTACCTTCCCCCTAATAGAATAGTCAGTAGTTGCTGTCCCAAAGGAAAGAATGTGTTTTGTTCTATGATGCAATTCTCTATTAGCTTCCAAATACCCATTGGCTTAGGCCTTGAAAGGGCCCTAGCTCATTAGTTTTCTCTGAATTTAAAAATAATAACTAGCATAACTGCAGATACTGCAAAACATCTTTTAGCATCAATGTCATCACTCCACTTAGTAAAAAGGAAAAACATTACATAGAAAACATTCTGGAGCCCTACTTCTTAGTTTAAATCTAAGCTCTGCTACTTACTTACCTGTATGACTTTTGATGATTTTCTTATCTTTTCTGTGTCTCGTATCCTCAACTGCAAAGTAGGGAATGAAGGATGAGGGGATGTGTGCCAACCTGGCATGGGGTATCTAAATGGTAGCTGTTGTACACACTTGGGTGTTTATAACACCATTTGTGGCACTCTCAGTTTATTCTTGCCTGGCTGGCTAAATAAAAATTACAACTTTTTTTTTTCAAGACATGTTTGCAGTATTATCCTGGGGCATTCTTGCAGGAAAAAAAAAAAAATCTTCTTTGAACGCCTAATCCCACCTCTTTTGTCATTAGGACGTGCTATGTCACTTGCAGGGCCCAGTGATGAAATATGAAAATGCGGGGCCCCTTGTTCACAAATTAAGAAATCCAAAATGGCAACAGTGTTAAACCAAGTGTGGAAACTTTCTCAGCATAGGACTCTGCAACGGCATGGCTCGAGGGCCCACGAAGCCGGCTGGCCCTGCTTGGCACCACTTTCCTTGATGAAAAGATAAGATGCCAAGCTCTCCTAAGTCACTCAGTTGTTCATTTATTTCTTGGAATATTTGTTTCTAACCTTACCTTTCCAAGAAAAGATTTAAGGTAATTCTCTCTACAAATAGAATCTGAGAATGAAAATACTCTTCAGAAAACCAACTTCCTGTCCCAGGGCAGATTTTTACTATGTCATTAAACACAACGACTCTCTTGGAGTGTGGAAAAATCAAACAATCTTGGAGTTATTAAGGACTCATTCTGTTCAGTGATAAGCTCACAGACCTTTTCTGGGGAACTACCCCAGTCACCTCTACACAGGGCAAAGTGTCAATGAAGCCTGAGGCACAGGGACAATTCTTCACCTCCAACCAACAGTATGAATCCTAGACTACTAAAGAAAGTTTTTTTTCCCATTGGGAGAACCAACTCAAGTTTTTAACATGCTTTTCCCCTTGTGGTTTTCTCAAGTTGCTCTCTACATCAGTCAACAATATTCAAGAATGAAATCTATTAACATTAGTTCTGTATCAATATTAGGTTACCAGTGTAAATATCTATTGAACACTAAGAGAAATGCCAAGCCCCCTTCTTAATGAAGAGCCTTGATTTTATTAGGTTCAAATAACAAAGAAGTATAAGACTACGCATAAGTATAGTGTCTTTTATTTCAGAAACGTCTAGTGCTTGGCCTAGATTTATCCCATATGGCCTTCCTACGGGCCATAGCAAAGAAAAACTCAATCTATAAAAGACCCAGATGTTCACTCCATCTCCTCTGAACCTTCTTTGAACTGATAGCTAGTGAAGAGCTGCCATTTGTTTAATTCATTTGCTCCATTATTTTAACTTAGGCACCATTCAAAATTCCCAGAAGGTCTCTAGGAATTGTTTGCAAATAAGGCAACCTGTTTTTTTTTGAATTATTGACAGATAGGGCTAACAAAAAGATAGTAATACCTGCTTAAATTAGCTCATTTTCAATATTGCTATTTTATCAGCATCTGAATTTGAGCTGTGGTTGGCTAGTTCAAAGTCAGGAAGCCAGACAGCCTTGTAATCAGATCATGGAATAAGGCCAAATGTCAGTTATGGAAGCCAAAGGAATACAGAATCTTCAGTCCGAAAGCAGATTCAAAATTAAGAGGATCAGCAGATCAGAAGAACCATGTACTATAAATCAAAGCAAGTCCAAACACCAGGGCACATATTTAAGCAGTGCTGGGGCAGGTAAGCCATAGAACAAAGTGTAGCAGCTAGACAGTCCAAGCAATCAGTCCACATGTAAATGGCACCACACTGTACAGTGCAGAGCTTTTATGATTTGATCAACCCTGACTCGAGAAGGCATCAGAGGGAAACTAGTATTCAGGACAAAAAGCAGTCTCTACAAGGATGGTGGTATCTGGAGGTCATGTTGTTTATTGTAAAACAAGATCAAAACTTAAGTACTCAGGAACTAGATCACAAAGATTAGAGCAGATTACAAGGGAGCTAATGCTGCCTCACCCAGAACTTCTTTTTTTTTTTTTTTAATATTTTTAATTTATTTATTTGAGAGAGAGAGAGAGCAAGCAGAGCGAGTGAGCAAGAACGGGGGTGGGGTGGTGTGCAGAGGGAGAGGGAGAAGTAGACTCCTCCCAGAGCAGGCTTCCTGGAGAGCAGGGAGTCAGATCCCACTGGATCCAAGGCTCATGACCTAAGCTGAAGGCAGATGCTTAACCGGCTGAGGCCCCCAGGCGCCCCTCATCCAGAACTTCTTATAGTGACCTGCTTAGGAATAAGATTAGGCCAGGAGCTGGGCTTGAATGACTCTCCAGATAAGGAGATTAGCCACAGTGGTGTCAGCTCACATCAGCTCACAGGAGCCAGCTGTTAAAATTTAAGGAATTTTGTAAGCCAGATGTTAAACACAGCCATTATTAAAAATTAAATTATTTAAACTTATAATTAAAGACATTTTAAAAACAAAGATAAAAAACCCTCAAAACTCATCCCTTCTTAATTACTTCACTACATTTTACTATTAGCTGTGATCCTCAAGTTCTTTGTGTCTGTTGTAACTGTGTGGTGAAAATATTTTATATTGGCATGATACTGCGAGTCTCTTCCCACTTTCATGTTCAATAGCCTCATATCGGGAGCTTGAAATTGGCCATGATGGAAGAACGTACAGCATGGAAATTGAAAAGCACAACAAATCGGGGTTTTTTGTGGAGCCAAGGAAGGAGGAGGTAGCTGTTAAACATATACCAGCATATCACTGGTTAGTGTCCCCAGCATAGAGTTACAGCACTGAGAAGTCTAATATCTATGCAGGTGAAGAGAATAAAGGATTCTGGGACAGCTATTTGCGAATTCCTAAACCCAGAATATAACAATCTTCATGATGTGACCCCAATTTACCTGTTTACACTTAACCCATGCTCCCTAGTCTCCGGCCACCTTTAACATCTCCCCATGTTTTCTCACACCTCCATTTATTCAACAGACATTTACCGAACTCCTACTTAACACTGAGCACTGTGCTCTGGGTTGAAGAATCACTCTGGATTGAAGAATCAGAGATGTCAGGAGTCCGTCCTTCCCTCAAGTAGTTCACGGATTAGGAAAGAAAGGGAAACAGCAAACAGACAAATGCTTCTAATCAGGCATGACAAGTGCCATGACAGAGACAGATGTGCTCATGTACTTTGTGGAAATGCAGAAGATGCACCAATAAGTAAAGACAACAGGGAAGGCTTCCAGGAAGAGGCATCAGTTGCACTGAGGCTTGACTAGACAACATGCACATGTGTTTTCTTGAATTAAATTTCTTGAGTTCAAAGCCCAGCTCTCCCAGTTTACTGCTGGGTGACCTTCAGCAAGTTACTTAGCCTCTCTGAACCTCAGTCTTCTCAAAAGAGGGATCTACAAAATGAGATCCCTCCTTCACAGGGTTATTGTAAGGAGTGAATGAAATTAATGAATGTAAGACATTTAGCCCAATGCTGATGATACATAAATGCTTTTACAACATTTGTCTTTATATTAAGTATTAGTCAAGTGAAGAAGGGAGTAAGGAATGTTACTGATAGAGAAAATGGTGCATGCAAATCCTAGATGCATAAAAGATTGTAACATTTTTCCCCAAATGCATTTTTAAAAATATGACTGTAGCTGGGGGCTCCTAGGTGGTTCAGTCCATTAAGCATCTGTCTTCAGCTCAGGTCATGATCCCAGGGTCCTGGGATCAAGCCCGGTGTCGGGCTCCCTGGGAGCCTGCTTGTCCCTCTGCCTCTGCCTCTCCCCACGCCACTTGTGTACTCTCTCTCTCAAATAAATAAATAAAATCTTTAAAAAACTATATGACTATAGCCCAAAATAGCAGGAAGTGGGAATTTACCCTCTTGCCAAGAAAATGGCTGATTCTTTAACTTTCTATAACTATCACGCCGTTATCAGACCCGAGAGTCATCTTACACCCCTCCTTCTGCCCACTCCCAGGTTCACTCAATCACCATGTCCTGCAGCCAAGTGCCTCTCAGCCAACTATGCTGAGGTCCACTTTGTATTGCTTGCCCATATTGTCCAATACTTGGATAAAATACAGTAAAAGCTAATTACTAGATAAATGAAATAAAAAGCATAGATCTACAAAATACAAGTCTAGGTTTTTCATTATTAGACTTAACAGATAAAAGATACAGCCTTTCACTTAATACAAAAGTTTCTAAATTCTGAAGTCAATTCCTGTATTTATCTCATAGCAGATGAGTCACAACCAGTTCACAGACTGTCACCAGTTCAGAACCATACCTGGAGAAGCATTGCTACAGAACATAGTATCTCCTTAGCATTTCTAAAACACTCCACTTTCTTTCCTTAGTTCAGCCCTGAGGACTTCATCATCTCTCTTCTAAGCAACAACCTAAACAAAATGGCCTCACTGCCTCCAGTATCTTATGTCCCCCCACCCATTCTTCATGTTATCACCAACTAGATCTTTTTAAATCCCAAATCTCATTACGTTACTGTCAGTTATTTTCCTTTGCCTTCAGGACAGAGCCTAGAACTCCACCATCTGACCTCTGCCTCCTTTTCCAGTTCCTCTCTCACTACTCATCCTCCTCCACTGCCCCAGTGCTCACGTGCATGCATGCACGCACAAACACACACATACACACACACACGCTAGAGTCTTGCATTCTATGCTACAGGTACACCAAAGGACATGCAGGTCCACAAACAACACTAGCTGTGTCACATCCTCCATGCCTTTACTCTCAGTAATGCCTCTACCTGAAACGTCTTTCTGAAGAACAAAAATTCTACTCAACTTTCAATATTCAGTTCAAGGGCCGTATCTTCTAGGAAACTTTTTCCAGTTCCATCTTCCTGCCCAGCCCCTGCCTCAGGGACCTAACACTCAGTCCTTTGTGCATTCACAGCTTCCTTAACACATCATGATAACTATAGCACGTGTCACAAGCATTTATATCTGTTTACCTCCCCAGATTGTAAGTTGCTCTTCCACAGACACCATGTCTAGATTTCTTTGTATTATTTCCCTAGCACTTAGCCTACATAGTTTCTAGCATCTTGTTGATACTTGTGAATAGAAGGATGGATGGCCTGGAATGGAATAGTTACACAGATAGATGGATGGATGGACATACTAAGGATGGGGAAAACAATAAAGTTGAAAAAATACAAGAACCAGATCAAGAAGTGCCTTGTATATCCTGTTACAGAATTTGTATTTTTATCCTAAAGGCAACTGAAGGCCTTGAAGTATTTCAAATGGAAGTATGATAAAATCCCTGTTGAGTTTTTGAAATGTGGGAATACAAAGGAGCCTAGATAGACCAGTTCAGAATCTATCACAACAAAGCAGGGAAGAAGAAGTAGAGGAGATGGAGAGATTGGTTCAAGAGATACTTTGGAGGTTAGACAGTGAGAACTTTATTGATCAATAGGAATGGGAAGGATGATTTCCAGATTTCTGTCTTGCATCCCTAATCAGAGGAAAAGAATAAGGAGCAGGTTTTGAAAACAATAAAACATGAGGTCCTTCCTTTGTGTCAACGGCAGTTATAAAGCTCATTTTTCTCAGGTTTCACCAAAGAAGCCCAGCAGAGAATGTCGCTTCTTCTTCTGGGAAAATAACAGTCATCAGGCAAGAATCTCCAGGGGGTTAGCGAGAGAGGGAGAAGCAGGCTTCCCGCTGAGCAGGGAGCCTGAGGCAGGTCTCCAGCCCAGGACCCTGGGATCATGACCTGAACCAAAAGCAGACATTAAAAACCGAGCCACCTAGGCGCCCAACAACCCACTTTCTTTAAGATAAAAACTAGTGCTAACTTCAGGTAATATTTGCAGTACATTGTTGTTGCAAAAAGCTCAAAAATACATAAATGTATGAAGGAGAAATTAGATGTAATTCCACTATCCAGAAATAGTTCTTGTTAATAGGCTGGTATATTTCTTTCTAGTAATTTTTCTATGCAGATATATATGTATGTGTAAATGACTATACTTTTCACTTCAAATTACATAGGTTTTTTGCCATGTTATTAAAAATTTCCATCGACATTTTAAAAGATGTCTTAATAATCTATTGCCTGGCTATACCAAAATTTATTTGATTAACTCTTATGATAGAATTTTTAAATTTTTCTACTATTTTGTTAAGGTAAATAACATTATGTACTATAAATCTTTCATTTTGGTTTCCTTAGGATAAATTTATTAAAGTGGGACTCTTATACAAAAAGTATGAACATCTTTAAAGTTTTTGATACATATTCCCAAATTGCTTTCCAAAAAGGTTGTACCAAATTACATTCCCATTCACTTTGCCTTTGCCAGGCCTATTATCCTTTTTTAAAATAGAAAAAGAATTTTTTTCATCTAATGATCAGAAATGGTATCTGACTGTTTTGTTCTGCATTTCTTCAATTAAAAATGAAGTTGGCTACTGAACCATATCCTTAAAAATGGTTAAGATGGAAAATTTTCTGTTATGTGTGCTTTACCACAGTCAAAAGTTTTTGGAAAAAAAAAATTTATGTTGGGCACTTTTAATATTTATTCATCTATTTTATTTTTGGTGAATTATGTATTTATATCCTTTACCCATTTAACTATTGTACTCTTAATATTTTTTATTGGTTTTTATGAGTTCTTTATATGTTAAAGGATTAAATCTCTTGCTGCCAAATTTATGGAAAATATTTTCTCCTATTGTTTTGACATCTAAGTTTGTTTATGAGCTTGGACATTTATGGAAGAGGGGGTATAGAGAGACATTTAAAATTTTTATATATTCAAATATTTCAATAATTTCCTTTGGGATTTCTTTTATTGCTACAAAAATTCTTTTTCTAGCCATCCACTAGGGAATTATTCATCTACATGATTCTATTATAGGTATTGTTCCTTAGTCTGAGCAGCAAAATAAAGATGAAAACACTCATTCTCCATCTCAAGGAACTCTACCAGCCAGTGAGATAGCAGGCATGTACACATTTAATACAAAAGCATAAGGGACTCCTATAGAAGGACTGTTCACCCTACTTGAAAGAGGTTCATGACTAGGTCATGGGGCCAAATTTGCCTAAAGCAGCTCATCTTCTGCTTTTATCATCATTTATTAATTTTGGACCATTTAACATGTTCAAAAACTGTACTGTTTCTAGAAATATGTGAAATGGGAATATGAAAACTCATTCCAGCTAACCGGCCCTTTCTTCCTGGCTCTAGGGGTTTTAAAACAATGACTCATGAAGTATTTGCCAGGCAACCATCCATCCAGGCTTCCCACAAGTCAAGAGTTTGTCAGCCTGCCTCAATTTTATCTAAGAAATTAAATCTCAATTTTAGTTTTATTAGCACATTGACTGCTTTGCTGTTTTTCAGAAAATACTTTAAAGGAAACATGTAAATTGTAATGAAGATAAAGAAGAAATGGAAAGCCTCAGGTACAATGGCAGTGATTGTTAATAAATAACCATTAACAAAGGTTTCCAGAAATTAATCAGCCCAGATGGGCATGGCAACCACTTGTGAAGGAAGCCTTCATAGAAATGCTTTGCTGCAAGAGTTCTGGGAAATGCTGGGTGTCATACACTGGTAAGAGGAACATAAAATTGGTACCTTTCCATAGGATAATTCTCAATGTGAGTTAAGAGGCTTACAGGTATTTATATTCTGTGGTGTAATAATTCCATTTCTTGCATCTATTTCAAATAAATCACCAAAGATTTATATATACTGATAATCATTACAGTGATATGTGTTATGGCAAATATTCTAAACAGCCTTAAAAATAGGGAAATAATTAAATAAATTATTGTTAGAGCCATACTACAAGATGTACTATATAACCATTCAAAGTTATGTTTTCAGAAAATTCTTCTGTGTAGTGGCATAAGAATATGCTTCCTATACAGTGGAGATGAGAAACATCTGGTTATAAAAGATATGTACAGCTAATTCCAATGTAAGTTTATGTTGCATAAAAGAAATTGAAGAAAATACACCAAAATCATTTTTTGTGACTAGTATGTGGCTTCACATTCTGGACTTTCCAAAATTTCTACAATAAACTAAGTCCTATGAGGAGGAAGAAAGCTATTTTTGTAAATGTTTGCTCTGTGCCGTAAAAGACCAATCCTTGTGATTGGCTATGAGTAGGCCTCTTTTCCCCTAGACCTGTTTCCAGAAAACTGGGTGATATACAGAGGTATGGAGTTTCCTAAATCCTTCCACTAAAAAGAATATGAAAGACATGCTTCACCCTTTACTTAAAATATGAATCAAATATTTTCTCTGTTCCCAACCCAGCCTGACAACATTCTTCATAAAGTCCCACTGCTTCTCAGGGAAAACAATAAAGAAGTAAAAGTACATCGAGTGCCTGACATATGTTAGGTAATTTCACACATACATTGTCTTGTTTGATTCTCCGTGACCCCTGTGACACTGAGTTTGAATGTATTTAAGCAACTTCTCCAAAGGTAGAGCAGTCTTAATCAATAGAATAGGATTTGAAGTCCAGTCTTCAGACTCCAAGAGCTCATTACAGCAGACTTCTATGTGTACATCTGCACATCTGAGCAATACAGAGTCCAAAAGTGTCCACATTATTTCAATTACTTGTCAGCTTAGAGAAATAAGACATTCATATTGTACACTCATCTGTTAGGTATGTGATAAAAAATCATATATTTTTTGCTACTTGTCATTTATTTAAGCTCTGTTATCCATTATCATCCTTTCAAACTGTTTCATACAGAACAAATACACAGTTCTTCTCAAACAACAAGCCTTCTGTAACATTTTGAAAGGATTCGTTTAAAAAAATTTGGGTCACAGATTGTGCATTTAATTTTATCTTTCCAGATTCACTTCTTTAAATCATTTCCCAAGTCACTAGAGATATGTTTACCTTCATGGCAATCCCTTTTACACACTAAGCTACCCCTGGCCCCCATACTTCCCACCACACCATGGAAATCTCACCCATTTCCATTAATACTGGACCAAATCCAATTTCAAATTTTGGTTCAATATTCTCCAGCTGAAGACAGTTTTCTAAGAATGGCCCAGTTCTGCTCTGATCATTCACTCTCTATTCTCCTATTCGTGATACATTTAATATGTTCTAAACTGTTTCACATTTCATATGTCATCTCAAGTTTTTCTCATTCACTCTGTTTCTACCTATTTACGTTCTTAGTTTCCCCAGAACCGTGAACATATTTTTTCTCTTATTTCACCCCAGATGCTTTGTTAAGTGTTATGTCTATTTTTTGATTCATTATGTATATAATGGATAGGCAATAAATGCTTGTTAATTAACTGTCCTCAGCTCACTCATATTCACCTACAAACGCAGACTCAAACAAACAAACAAAAAAATCAATGAAATGGAAAAGGAAGAAGAGAGGACACCACAGTTTGAATTAGCATGGAAACCTTTACCTTTGTGAGTTAACTTGTATATCAGAAAGTACATCAGGGAGGGGTCCCTGGGTGGATCAGTTGGTTGAGCATCTGACTTTTGATTTTGGCCCAGGTCATGATCTCAGGGTCCTGGGATTGACCCCCATGTCAGGCTTGGCTGGGCATGGAGACTGCTTGAGATTGTCTCACCCTGTGCCTCAATCTCTCTAAAATAAATACATAAATCTTTTTTTAAAAAGTACATGGAGAATATATTTTAAAAAACAGATTATCCATTTGCTTATTTAATATTTCAATATATGAAAATTGCTTAGTCAAACTTTCCTTAAATCAATAAGTTAAACATTATTGAAAGACAAATTATGTAATGTTCTTCTAAAGAAGAAAAAGAAGTCTGGGCTAAAGAAAGCAGCCATCTGACTACTTTTTAAACCAGAATTTTCCTTTAATCACAGAAACATGAATTGAATCAGGAAACTGAATTAAAGTAAACCCTGAACCAAAAACCCAAAAATATATATATATAAACTATACTAATCTGCAGAAACACAAAGGGCACCAAATACAAGTACGGTAATAACTTCTACAGAAAACAAAACAATTTGCGCAAAATCTCTCAGAAAATTATTTGCTTATGTCTGGGGTTTTTTCTTTTTCTTTTTTTTTCTTCAGATAAATGACAATTTTTCAATACTTTAAGAAAAATATTATCCAGCAAGATAGTATGTCCTTAACAAGAACAACTTGAATATTAAATAAAATGGTCATTCCATTATTCTCTCCAGAAACACTTGGCCAACCTAGTCTGCACAACAAGCTAAAAACCACGGTTCTGAGGACCAGGTCTTAAAGGAAACTCTAGAGAAGCTGGGAAACGGGAAGAAAACCTACAGAAAGGCTGCAAGTCCCTGGCCCTGATCTGAGGTGGTGAAGGATCAAAATACCAGCAGAGGAAAGGAGTGAGAAGGCTAATCTCTTTTTTTCCTTTTTAAACTCTCCTTCCTTTGGGGTGCCTGGGTGGCTCAGTCAGTTGAGCGTTGGACTCTTCATTTCAGCTCAGCTCATGATCTCAGGGCTGTGAGATAAAGCCCAATGTCAGGCTCCATGCTCAGTGGAGTGTCTGCTTGAGACACTCTCTCTCCCTCTCTTTCTGCTCCTCCCCCACTCTCTCTCTCTTAAATAAATAAATAATTCTTTAAATAAAATAAACTCTCTCCCATTCTCATGATCTTTTCTCCCTTTCCTTCTTTTGCCTTTTGCGCAAATCATCTCTTTTTCCTCTACTTTCCTCTTCCTTTTCTTTTGACACTTACTTCTGTAGCTTTGTCTTCTATATCTTCTGCTATTATTTCTGTTTGTCTTTTCTCATCCTTGTTTTCCCCTTTCCTTTCCTTTCTCTTTTTCTACTACTTTCTCTGGATTCTTTCTTTCGATCCTATCATTTTTTTTCCTGATCTTTCCTTTCATCCATTTTTTTTCTTTTCAATGATATGATCTCATTTCCCACCAAAATGTTTTTCATCTTACGAATTTTGAATTGATTACCCATGTTCAATGAAACAGATTCAATAATAATTACTTATTTGTCTTATCCAATGTGATGATATATGTTATTCATAATATTTGTGGGAAACGTTATTTATACACTTATCAGGGCTTTTTGTTAAATACTATTTCCATTTTTTTTTATCACCACTCCATAATTTGCAAAGCAGGTTGAACATGGATAATCAATTCAAAATTCATAACAGTGGTAGATTTTAAGATAACCTTGCTATGTCTCACTGTGATAGTTAGCATCCAGGATGATCCCCCGATTATTCTTATTTCCTGATATTTATGCCTTCACATAGTTCCTTCCCACATTGTATAAAGGTTAGTTTGTGTGACTAGTAGAATGTGATGGAGGTGATGGTGTGACTTCTGAGGCAAGATCATAAAAAATCATAAAAACTTCTACATTGCTTACTTGAATCATTTGCTCTGGGAGAAGTCAACTACTATGTTATGAAGACACTCAAACAGCCCCATGGAGAAGTACACAGCATGAGGAAACAAGGTCTCCTATAAACAAGCAGCACATAGTTTCCAGACATGTGAGTGCACCATCTTGGAAGCAGATTCTTTAGCCCCAGTCAAACCTTCAGATGACTGCAACCCTGGCCAACATCTTGACTGCAACTTCATGAAGGACTGCCCAGCAGAACATTAGCTGGTCCCTAAGTCCTCACAGAAACTGTGAGAGATAAATGTTTATCATTGTTTCAAGCCACTAAATTTTCTGGTAATTTGTTATGGAAAAAATAGATAAATAAAGTGCCTTTTTTTTGGAAACAAAACCAAAACAATTTGCGCATACATAAACACCTGAAAATAGTTCTTTCTTTACTCTGCCAGTAGTATGTATGCACACACCAATTCTAGAGAGGAAATTTTGGAAATTTTTCTGGAAATTTCTTTTCTGCATTCAGTTTAATTCAGCAGTGCTTCTGTTATTGTTCTTATATGAGGATGGAGAAAATAATATGCATAGAATAAAATTAATATTTTTATGTTTAACAAGTCTAGTTACATTATAAAACAAGACTTCTATGACAACACATAACAAATAAGATCCTCAAAAAAAATCAAAGCAATAAGGTATAAAGGAGAAAAACAGTCTCTCTCAAAATAGGACATTTCTATCCTGAAATATATCTTCTTTTAATTATCTGTAGCATGGAGCTAAAGAACATTCTTGTTATTTGTTCTCATTTTGAAGACATTTATACATCCCCTGGTCATAATTATATTTTCAAATAAATTTGAAATCAAAAGTAATATTAAATCTTGCTAAATCTTGTGACTAGGAATTGCTATCTAGCTTCCACCACTGCATTTTTTAATATTAAAAAAAAGTAAAGTCATCCTTCTAATGACCCAAGAATGTAATCTTATACTGCTATTAACCTAAAGCTAAAATTGAACATCAAAACATTCCTCCATATGAAAACTGAACTGTACTGTTATATCATTTAATTGAATCTTTAAGATCTACTTCCAGTGTATCACTTCCCAACTGCACTGGGAAGTTACTGCCAAATTGCTCCTATGATTCTGAATTTCTTTCTTACAAAATATCCTGATGGGTATAATGTGATCATCATTTACATGATCCAAGATTAAGATGATAATAAAAAGGAATTAGATCAAAACACCAGCTAAAGAATCCTTCAGTATGTATTCCTTTATAATAATAACCACACTATATTTGTAGTAGTC